GGAACCGGTCCAGCTGGCGTGACCCCACAGCCCGGCAGTGCAGTATTAGCACCTGAACGCGGATTCGTTATCTGGGTGGGGTCCTGTCAGTTCAGGGACTCTCCACGTTAGCTTTGCCCTTGTCCTGCTGGTGGTAGAATTGGAAATAGGCAAGACAAATACCCATTTCTCCATCCAGGGAAAAGGGCAGAAACACTTGGCTTTAACTTTAAAGTTTAATTTCACAGTGTTTTGCTCTGATGAGGCAGCAGAGAGAGTTGAAACTCATCCTATTTAATAAAAGCTTAATATGCTAAGTGTCCGGTCGTCCAGTCAACCAAAGTGTAATATGCTAATAATTGCTAAGGCTGCTCAACTGCTTGCTATGACGTGCACTGACCTCCAGGGGGCAGACGCTCCAACCGGTAGGTTAGCTTGCTGCTGGGGTCCAGCTGATTGGGACTGAGGGAGGCCGGGCTGGACACGCCCTGGCTGGCCATCCTCCTGTGTCCCTCCCTGGCCCCAGTCGTGTACCGGTGGGGTCCCTCAGCCTGGCCTGTGTCATCTCACAATTTGGGAACCCCTGGGGGGATGTCGGAGAGCCGGTTTCAGCCTGATCCCGCAGGCCACTAGTACTGTCTGGAGGGAAAATGTCTTGAAGAGGGTAGAGTAAAGGTGTGTCACAAAACCTTGGTAATTGTTCTGTTTGGTGTCTATGCTATTTTCTGAGGGGTTGGGTGTTGTGCTTCTATCTTGTACCAGTTTCTGTCCTTGGTACTTTTTTTTAAGCTTTTTATTACTTTACTTTGGTTAATCCTCACCTGAGGGTATTTTTTCCATTTTTTTAAAAAAATGTTATTGATTTCAGAGAGGAAGAGAGAGGGATAGATAGAAACATCAATGATGAGAATCATTGATTGGCAGCCTTCTGCACGTCCCCTACTGAGGATTGAGCCCACCACCCAGGCACATGCCCTGACCAGGAATCAAACTGGCAACCTTTTGGTGAATGGAACGACACTCGCCCCTCCCCCCCATCCCCCGCTTATTGATTTGAGAGAGAGAGAGAGAGAGAGGGAGGGAGGGAGGGAGGAAGGGAGAGGGATAGAGGCCTAAATGTGAAAGTGGAACATTGATTGGCAGCCTTCTGCCTGCCCCCTACTGGGGATCGAGCCCACCACTTAGGGCTGTGAAGGGACTAGGAATGAGACTGTCAACCTTTCGGTGCACAGCACAGGACAATGCCCAGCCAACTAAGCCACACCAGCCGGGGCTCAGTTTTCCAAAGTCGCCTGCAGATTGACTTGACCGGCGACTTGGTTTGGCTGTCCGGTGGGAATTGGGAATGCCAGTGTGGGTCCCTGCTTCCTCTCCTCCTGTCTTATCGTTTGTAAATGGGAGTTGTCATTTCCTCTTCTGAACTGACGTCAAGGCTTACCCCAGGCCCACAGTCGTCGCCTGTCTGGGTGAGGATCACTGACCCTAAACAGGATCCTTGGTTTTCTGGCATCAGGACTGGATGCCAGCCTCCTCTCCGTCACCTCCTGCAGGGAAGCCCTCCCTTCCTTGTCCACATTCGTCCTCCAGCGTCCTGCTTGGAGGGATTCCCCTCTCCCCCT